CCGGGCGGCCACCGCCGGCCGCGGAGCTTGCTCCGCGCAGCGCGCCGCGCCGGGGCGAGCCGCCGCATCCCGACCTGCTCTTCCTCCCCGGCGTTTGTCAGCTCGCTGCCCGGCTCTCACCCGCCTCAGCCTTCCTCCTTCATTTTGCAAATTTAGCAGTACGTTAGTTGGGAAGCAATATGCTTACGGTGTAAGTGGTATTGTTCTTTTCCCCGTGTGTGTGTGTGTGTGTGTGTGTGTGTATATATATATTTTTATATATATATTATCCTTCTATATTTCCTACAGGAATCAGAGCTGGCGCTACCGTTATACTTGTAAAGAAACGCCGCTTGTCTACTTTTACGTAAACATTCACATTTCAAAATAAACTTCATAAGGATTCCAGTTTTCAAGTGAAACAGCCGTCATTGCTAAGCAGGAGGGCGAATACATGCACTTTAAATTTAAACTGTGAACTAATCAAACTTAGCTATTTTTCCCTTTTCTGGTTTGATAGTTTGCAATCTGGAGTTACATACTTTAAAAAAAATAATATTTAGTGCCGTAGCCCACGGTTAAAATAGTGAAAAATTAGTCTCGTTTCAGAAATTATTTATTTATAGAACGAACATGATTAAAACATAAAAAACACACAAACTGCAGCTGCAACAAAAAAACCCCACCGTGATTTACGATTATTAAATCTTTGATTGCCATGTTAATGTTTCTTTTTCTACCTTTCATTTGCATTTTAATCTATCGAATCTTTACAATTTTGCTGCCTCCTACTCGAATGATTGATTACACATCTGAAAGAAAAAAATACTAAGCTTTCGAGGCGAGCTTCTATTTTTCCTCCCCCCTTCCCTTTGCTGGTTAGCTTTCTGAAACCTTCCTCAACAATGTTAATGCAAGCAGGACAAATTAATTATGCTCTTTTAAATGTCAAAGGTATAAATAAAAATGCCCCCCTCCTCTTTTCTCTCCCTTACCCCCTCGCCCCAAATGGGAATATTTTTCCAACCCGCTTGTTTTTAAAGCGAGTAGGAACCATCCTGGTAAAATACAATTAAAAGGAACATACGCACTACATCGTGACTGTAAATAAATGTTATTGCATGGACATTTACCTATGGAGTATCAAAAAAAAAAAAAAAAGGAGAGGGACAGGAGGTGTAGGTGAGGGGCGCGTTGGCTCCTTTTTCACTGTTGAGCCTAGGCTTTGCTGTATTTCCCCCTCCCCAAAAAAGCCCAGCCCCCCCCAGCCGCAGCCGGGCGCACACCCGCAGGGAAGGGGGGGGGGTTGCCGGGCCCTGGGG